ATATTTTTTGTTTTTTTTTTTTTTTTAAAAACTGTGTTTTTTTTTTTTTTTTTTTTTTCCTTTTGTTGGGGGCAAGGTATATATAATTATTAATTAGCAGTTGTTCTTAGATAATTTTTATATATCAACTATTGTTTATTTTTTTTGCCTCATTTGGTTCCACTAAGCCTACAAATTTATTGACATTGTTATGTCCTAGTCCTAGAAGCTGTCATCAACAGTGGTACTTTTAATATAATTAATGTATTAGTGGTTAAGTGCTTATGTACCTGTGCCTTCATATTCTCAAAATTACTATCTGTTGTAGGTTTGTTTGGCGGAAGAAGATTGAGCGTGATGTTGTTCAAGGTGTGCCTATTGATGAGTTTTCGGTTAAAGCTGAAAAAAAGAGACAGAGAGAAAGGATGGTATGCATTTTTCTGCAAAATATACATTTGCCACCACTAATTAGTTATTTTTGTGGCTGATATTTGTACTATTCAATTTTTTTATAGCCAATAGGCCCCACTGGAACCTAGGGTCCCATCATTGGATAAGGACTTAAATGTTCCCATCCAAAGGACCCAATGGAGGGGGATGAAAGGGAGCATATTTTTCCCCTGCCCCCAACACACACACACATCAGGATGCTCACTGGCTTAAACTATCATATTTTTAATGTCTATAAAATGAGAATAATATCTGGTATTCTGGTTGTTGTTGCATTTCAATGAAGTTATTTTGAACTTTATACATGACTTATTGTTGATGTTTTCCTACTATTAGAGTATGTTTTAGGAGAGAAATATATGGTTATCGTATTACACTAATTTTAAGAGGCTAGCTTTTTCCCCTAAATATGTCCTTTAGAAGGACTAAAAGCCTCACTTATGAATTAAATCTATTATCAAGTCTTTATCAAGTTTGAATATGCTTCTCCCCTGTGATTTTTCTTGTAAACATCATTTGAGAAGGAAGTAATGATCAAAACATCTCTGGTTCAAATTAGATGCCTATATATATTCACTTAGTAGGACTAGGATATCAATTTAGCTAAAATTCATTGTTATACAGTATGATTATTTGCTTCCTTTTGAAGGAAATTCAATGTTATTGCCTGGTGATATATGCAAAAGACATATCTACTGGTGAGGATAGTACATCTAATGTTCTGATTTTTAATATCTAGATCTTGATGCTACAGTCCATGAAAGTTATCCATTTTTTCAAGTCAATAGCTTATAAAGCTAAATGATATTTTGTTTGCTTCCTATAGCTACTTGCTTCTTACCTCCCAAGCTTCTTGAGTTACTATGATGACATTGTCAAACAACTAGACATTCTCTTTGTGTGCCACTTATTTGCTAAGTTCTTGTTAATAATTATAATGCAGGCAGAAATTGAAAAGGTGAAGAAAAGAAGAGAAGAAAGGGCACTTGAGAAGGCACGGCATGAAGAAGAAATGGTAATTCCATCCTTATAATTTGTTTTTAGTGATCAATCATCATTTTAATCTATTGGAGGCAAAATTCAGTCTTACTTCTCATGTTTCTGGGTGGTTCCTGTCTGTTGTGCTATATGCTAATTTGATATGCTAATTATTCCCAACCCTGTAAATGCATAAACTGTGTTATCTTACGCACATTCTCTTTCACAGGCACTGTTAGCTAGAGAACGTGCACGAGCTGAGTTCCAAGACTGGGAGAAAAGAGAAGAGGAAGTATGTTTCCTTGAATTCCTTTTATTTGTTGTTATTTATTATTGTTATTATAGTATTTGTAATCTGATAATTAAGACAATTTCATATGCAGTTTCATTTTGATCAAAGCAAGGTTAGATCGGAGATTAGATTGCGTGAAGGGCGTGCTAGGCCAATTGATATCCTAACCAAGCATCTCAATGGCTCTGATGATTTGGATATAGAAATAAATGAACCGTACATGGTTTTCAAGGTTAATATTTAGATTTATAGCAATCCATATCTCTCTTTCTTTTAACTGAGATAAATTACTACATCCAATCTTATATTATATGAAACAAATACATAATGAAGATTCAAGACCAATAAAATAGTTAAGTTAGTTAATTTTAATCAATAATGTCATAAATTTAAATTTTATTAAAATAACCATAGAATTAAATAGTTCAAGTGGTGGTTATATTTAATGATACTAGTAATTCAAGGAATAATTTTTTCATCCAATGCATATTACTTATTTTGTTAATAGCCCAATGAATGCATCTACTTTCATGGGAAATGAGTGAACGTCTCATTAGACTTCACAATAAAATAAGGATATAAAAAGAAATCAGCTATTAATACATTTGTAAGTGGGTCTATCATCTATGTTTCTTATGAATAGGATAAAAAAATGCTTTTATTTGTTTCTTATATAAAGGATCAAAGGTAGTATGATGTAATACAGCCCTTGAAAACTTATTGAACATTTTCCTTGGAATGACTAAAGATTTTCAACTTTAAATGTCAAATGCTGGACAATTTACATAATCATTTGACACATGGTGCAGGGTTTGACGGTAAAGGAAATGGAAGAGCTTCGTGATGACATCAAAATGCATCTAGATCTTGACAGGGCCACACCCACCCATGTAGAATATTGGGAGGTATCATCTTTTATCCATTGTTTAACTAGTTACTTTATAGTACTTTTCAGAGTATTAATTACTTAGTAATTTTTACCATATCTATATACTTTAGGTAATATCGGATGTGACTATGACTTTGAATCGTATCTAGTTCTGGCATAAAGGATGACACTAATAATTTGATTCAGAAATCAAAGTTATGCAAAAGACCAAAACAGCTGAAATTCAATGTTATTAATATCTGTATGTTGTTAGTAATAATATAATTTCTTTAATAGGAAGTATATTGACACTCTCAAATTATTGAACTACATTAAACAACAAAGTGAATGTTGGAAGCGATATGCTAAATGATGAATATGCTTAGTATATAATATCTTTATTTTTGAATTTTTTATAGCTTTTGTGTATATGTCCTTTTTCTTCTTCTGTGTATAATAAGTTTCTTTGTCACCGTTAGCTTAATACATTTTTCTTTGTTAAGGTATTAATATATCGTCATGTATAGATGTTAGCTTACTAATATAATTGCAATATTGCATTACCAAAGGGGAAATAATGCGGATTGATATACTAGTCTATGTTAATATGCCAATATTTCATAGTTTAGACTGTTACTGATTTGTATGTATATTTATGAGAGGATGATTTTTTCCCAACTGTTTATAAATATATATATGTACATAATTGTAAAAGATATGATTAGATATCTATAAATAGAGTAACTATGTATAGCTTAAATTTAGGGCTGATTTTTAGGGGTTTTATCTTTCTGTTATTTCCCTAGTTTTCCTAATTATTGTATTCCGCTTTACTAAAAATAAATCAGTGTGTGCAAGGAAGTACACACAAAGGGCTCATTTTTAGTTACTCTATTTACAGATATCTAATCATATCTTTTACAATAATATTACTAAAATTTCATTTTAAATGTAAATGACACATCTGGTTCGATTAGTAATCTAACCACTTGAGCTGACTGACCATTAAACTAACAACTTCAGAAAAATATTAAAGAAATGAAGAGGAAATACCATGTCCATGTTCTTACATATGCTTGAATACAATCATGTCAAAGAAGTTTTAGTTTTGAATTTAAACTGTTAGGTAAGTACATAGGGATAATGTTCTTTAATTAGTTATTTTTAATTTCTAAAAGAGCCTTCAAACACTGTCTTGTATTAATTTCATAGTGCCACTGCCATTCAAAACAAATATTTGCAAAGTTATGACCGTAATATAAACGGTTTAGTATTGAATATTCCCTTTTTGTCGAAGTTATATAATAGTATAAAATTCTTACCTCTCTAAAATCTGTTGAGGATTTGAGAAGTATTGAAGTTTTTGGGTTTTATATTATAAAATTGTGCTGTTGCATTTATTGAGTTGTAACATCAGGGTGTTGTCTGGTGAAAGATTCATACAGTTGGAACTTCTGGTTGCTTGTACAAAGTAGCAGTGTTGATTGAAATGCAAAACGTTTTTCAGCTTATTTACTTGTTCTCTGGAATTCCCTATTTAAGATAGGTAGCAGAGTATGACTAATACACTGTTATATTTTGAGTAAAATGGAGGCAGTGAGATTTTCACTTTTCTATTTATGTGCTTTCTATTCTCTTCTGATAAACTCATAATAGAAAAAAGTTATGTGGTTAGTATAAATGTAATTTTAGAGGAGTGGAGTGGAAGTATGGTGAGAAGGTTGTTTCTGACTCTGTCAAGCATAGCCTACACGGATGCTGAGAAGTTAGATTAAGATTTCTTTCCATAAAAATGTGGCTGTAGCATGATTAATATTCAATTACACAATGAGATTTTTTTCCCTGTTTGAATTTATTTAGGTATCCTTCTTTCTCCTCCCCTTAGTTTGTGTATCCTTGACTACAGATGCATGCTGGTATTTATGCCTTTTGGTATGGTGTCTTTTATGTGAGTGACTATGTATGTCTTGTTATGTTTGTAGTTTAGATGAACATATAAACATTATTATCCTACAAATCGGAGCCTAAATAAATTAATTGCCTTAATCTCTTTCTCTTCTGTTTCAGTTCACTCATATGGCCATTGTGGGTGACTTCCTTAACATGTAATGCTATGATCTCAAAACTAAATTAGCCATGTCATAATTCATGTTCTGTGTTGAAGTCTTATTAGTCAATATCTTCATACAGGCACTTCTTCTGGTGTGTGATTGGGAGCTAGCTGAAGCTCGAAAAAAAGATGCAATTGATCGAGCTAGGGTGCGTGGTGAAGAACCTCCTGCCAAGCTACTTGCAGAAGAAAGGGGTCTACATTACAGTGTTGAGCCAGATGTGAAGAGGCTTTTACAGGGGAAGACACAAGCAGAATTGGAAGCTTTACAGGTGCATATAGAGTCAGAGATGCGTACTGGTACAGCAAAGGTGGTTGAGTACTGGGAGGCAGTTTTAAAACACCTCCACATATATAAGGCCAAGGTAATCTCTATCACTTTTTAGTTCTTAAAATAAGGGATATATTTACTCCATTATTAAGTCGTTGTAAATACAGGCTTGTTTAAAGGAAATCCATGCAAAGATGTTACACAAGCACTTGCAACGCCTTGAACAACCATTGGAGGATGAAGATGAATTCGAAGATGCTCAAGTTAGAAACTCTGAGGAAGATACAGAGCATTATGTTAAAGGTATATTAGCCTTTTGTCATTATGGGCATCCTCCATCCAGAATTTCATGTTGATATTTCTTTGATTTTTATTGTGTAGTCCAATCTGCAGATGAATCATTTTCACCAGAACCCATTAAAGGTGAAGTTCAAGAAGCTGAAGATCAGGCTGGCTCATTTTCACCAGAACTGTTTCACGGTGATGAAAATGAGGAAGCCATTGACCCTGAAGAGGACAGAGCTTTATTGGTAATCTTAAAACACGGCTTTTAATGATGATATCTTTGAAAATTGTATTGACTAACCCTATAATGATGGTACATTCATAGGAGCGGAAACGTATGGCTGTCAAGGAAGTGCAGCAGAGGCGAATTCAGGAAGCAATGGCATCAAAGCCTGCTCCATCTGAAGATAATTTTGAGATGAAGGCCATGAAAGCTATGGGAGCTATGGAAGATGGGGATGCCGTGTTTGGCTCTGGTGCTGAAGTGAATCTAGATTCCCAGGTATCCTGTCTTGGTGATTTATGTAAATTTCATTCTTTGCGAAATGGCGTCAAATTCTTGTCATTTTCTATGATTATTAGAAATTTGCATGTTTTATAGATTGAAAAATATTTATTTCATAGTACAAAGTTCTGGATTTTTGAAACTACTGTATTAAAGGGCATGGGTGATTATCAACTTATCCTTTGGGCTTTAGTTACTTCTTTCCGTAGAAAAAGTTGACGTTGGAGGTGATAAATATACTTTCAATGATATATATTATTATTTAGGGAGAAATAAAATGCTTGTTAAACTATATTCTCATTTAACATTTCTGATGTAATTGCTTAATGTTGGAGCAGGTTTATTGGTGGCACGACAAATACAGGCCCAGGAAGCCAAAGTATTTCAACCGTGTTCACACTGGATACGAATGGAACAAATATAATCAGACTCATTACGATCATGACAATCCACCTCCAAAGATTGTACAAGGGTATAAATTTAACATTTTCTACCCAGATCTTGTAGACAAGACAAAAGCTCCAACTTACACAATTGAGAAGGATGGCAGCAACGGCGAGACTTGCATCATAAGATTTCATGCAGGGCCACCATACGAAGACATTGTAAGTCTACCTTTTTTTCTTGATGTTCTTAATGCTATTAAATTTTAAACCAAATTACCTATTTCATGTGTCTTCCATGACAGGCTTTCCGCATTGTAAACAAAGAATGGGAATATTCTCATAAGAAAGGTTTTAAGTGCACATTTGAACGTGGAATTCTACATGTGTACTTCAATTTCAAACGCCACCGCTACCGCAGATAATTCAGGCACTGTCTTACATTCTGGTTTTCTCTACGGGTTGGTTACCATTTTGGAGAGTAAGGTGTATCCGTGTATGTTAAGCTGCTGGTGCTAGAGTTTCTTTTAGATATTTGGAGGAATTATCCAACCAACATTGAGCAAATCCTGATTATTGTACTTTTGGTGATACATTTGACATGAAAGTTAAATGTTGAAAGAATTTGTGGTGGATAGAACAACATGATGAACCTTGTTCCGAGCAAACACATACGGTTTTCTCTGTTCCGTGTGTTCTGTTTCCAATTTGGTAATCACATCTGAAGAACTTTTTAACTTAGAGCAAACACAAGTCCTGAATTGAAACAATCAAAATTTTCAAACTTATTATCTGTTTCTTAGCCACTCCAGAAACAGGTTAAATGCTCTGTTCGTTAACATCATGGGAAATGTAAAAGGCCGCTAGGAGGGTGGACATCATTTTCTTCACTTAAAATGTCGACGTAGCACTCTGAATATTAAATCATTACATTAACCTTCAACTATCTTTACGGCAGTCCTGCGGAACACAATCATTGAAATTAACTACAGAAGTGCTATAATATATAGGAATAAAGAAAAATTCTGACATTGTTACTTACCCAAATGGGCTTTGTTTGATAGAAAGCAGTTCAATGTCCAACTGCAGTTGGAAAGTAGCAAACGGTAAAATTGTAGATTAAAAAGAAAAATAATAGCAGAACAAAAGAATAAAAGACAGCAGCAATAGACAGAGAGCCTCGATAATAATAAATGTTTAAAATGTGCAAACCATTCCTTATGAACAAGTTTTCTATTTTGGATAACAGGTTTTCTTTTTCTTTCGATTACAAAGCCTGACATCTAGTGTAGGATGGGATAGGTTAAAGTGGAGGGGGAAAGGGCTTGGTTGGGATTTGATCGGAAATAAAATAATTTATGGAAACACCTTGGTGCTGCATGAGCAGCAACACTACTGTGTTGGTTAACGGGGTTTTATGCAGGAAAGAATGGTCTGTCATACAAAGCATACAAATGTAACAGATCTTGAGCATCCTGTAAATCGTGTTTTGGACCGTGGAAATGGTCAATAGACCATTCCAACTAGATGTGGTTTCTAGAAGTAAGTGGTCACTTCTCGCTCTTCAAACATGTCTTTGATCTAAAGCAATTCATTCAATGTCGGTGAATTTCCGTTAGACAGCACAAAGGTTTTCAGGAAGCTTCGGGGTTTCAACCAAGCTGATTAAATTTTGATTAAAATGTTTTATCAACAGAAGGTTCCAGTGAAATCAGAGAAGAAACCAATACAACTCTTTAGACTTGGACAATAATAGGTTGGCATCGGTCATGCAATTGAAATGTAGGAACCTACTGACCAAGGATGTTCAGACAAGTTACTATTTTGTCAGCTAAAATATTAATTGTAGTATCAACTTACTGGAACAAATGTTAAGAAAGAGATAACAATAACTCACCTCTATTGTTGAATTGGGAGGGATTTCTTGGACTCCCTTGCTTCCATACGCAAGTTCAGGAGGAACAATTAACAGTCGCTGCAAAAAAACTAACTGAATTACTGCTTGATGAATGACCCGACCTAAAATCTACACAATTTCCACCCTTTCAAGCAAAATTATTTTCACACATGCTGATAATAGCTTCTGAGCTTAAAGAATTTAGTGAGATGTCAAGAACTCATCCAACTTGTAAATTTATAATCTTAGAGGTCTAGCTGTCAAGGAGCACAAGAAAAATCTTTGGTTTAAATATTTTAATATATAAAATCTTTCAATACTTGAATGAAAATAAAATATACAGAAATAAAGCAAAATAAAACAATATCTATAGTTGTATAAGTTCCAATTCAATGTAGTTGTTCAGTAGTTGGTTCCCTTAGACTTTGTAGAGGCCCAATGAACTGTGAAGCTTCCCATCAAATGGATAAAACATATAAGGCTTTGCACTTTGAATACTTAATTTTATTGATTGTCAAGATTTTAATTGACATTCTTAACAAAAGACAGACTTGCTCCTAGAATATGTTCTCACCTGGCCTCCTACTCGCATGCCCTGTACTCCTAAATCCAACCCTTTAAGGACTGTTCCCCTCTCAGATTGGCCTACATCAAATCCATAGGGCTGCAATAGTTTAACCATAACCTCATCAATCGACAAGCAAATTTGTTCAAAAAAGATGTATCATAGAATTATTCATTGTGATCATCCAGAATTTTCTACAAGTGTTATCAATTATCATTATGTAACAAGGAAAGACTTGAACACACATTCCATGCAATAAACATGTAAATATTTCAGCGTGACTGAGTTAATGTGAACAAATAATATGCAAAAAGAAAATACATTACATCAAGCCTACAATGGCACATTGCCTAATTGTGGCAAAACATGTCTATTATTAATATTAAAATAATATTGACCCCAAGTGGAGGTAGGAGTGCATCTTTCTGCAATTATAGAACTACATGTTTGATGTCAAACCATAGTACCAGAAAGCAGTGTGATTGGATGGTTCATGAAAGGGGATAGATTATTACAATATAATTGCACAGCTAGTAAGTACTAATGCAGGAAAATTTGGCAGGGTTACTAGGGTCATACCGTTCCTCCTCCAACGCCCATTCCTTGTCTACTAGTCATAAAGGTGATACCCTTCCATTTGGCGACATAGTGGATCTACAATATGATAATCTCTTTATTTCTGAATTCTAAGTAATAGTTAATCACTAATGAAATGCACTTACAAATGAAAATCAGGGCTTGGGAGGGGGAGGGGGGGATGAGAAACTGGTAAGGTCAGTATGTATGAATGCATATGCCATGCCATCCTATCAGAATTAAAGAGAGAAAATTGAATAGTAATCTTCTGCCAGAAAGAATCAGGTCAGGTGCAATATCCCCTTTATTTTGACAATTCAAAGAAACTGTATCTGTATAAATAAACAATTCAATGGGACTGTGACAATTTTCTCCTTTCAAAATTCTAGAGTGGAATTGGTACTAAAAACCAAACTACATGGTAATCCAACACATTTAGTTAACGACTTGATGAATCAACTCTGTATATAACATGCAAAAGCACTAATTAGTGAAACATATTTAACTGAGTCACAACCGTACTGCAACACGGGATCCCTTTTTAGCCTCGGCTCCATTCCCAACCTTCAAATCATAGTACCTGAAGATATCACAGTTTCATTACACAGCAATCTCCAACTAGCAACACACATCTTAAAAATGAAATCAACAAAAAAAGACTGAATTGTGAAAGTTTAAAGATTACCAATGGAAGAAAAGCCAAACTTAAGACCTGTCTACAAAATACTGCCAATCAAAGAAAAGTAACAGATTCTGTTTCTCTAGGTTAAAATAACTTAAACTAATGTACTAGATGGGGGGATTCATCTATGATGATATCCATTTGAAGGACTTTAGCACACATCAGTCACTAGAATCTGGTACTAAAGCAGAAGGCAGAAAGATTCACAATTAACAATTTGACATATACTTACTTCAGACCATTGGGCAAGGTTTTATAATCACTTTCAGGAATTTTGGCTCCTCTTAGCTGCAGAAAACAAAAGGGTGGAAAATTTCATTTTGTACTCACTTTTCAGAACCATCATTTCATTTTCTTTCTATTTTCCAAATAAAATAACAAAAGAGAATAATGGGGACACATACAGCTCTTCTACTTGTGCTAACAGCTCCAGCCACATCACATGCATAGACTCCAGCAACTATCATAAGACTAACTTTTAAGCAAGCCACATCAACATGGAATGGAACATAGAAAGAGAATCTTGGAAGATAGTTAACTAACTAACTAACCAGTTGTGAGGAGACAACTGAGTAATGCTCTTCTTCCTTCAATGCTTAAAGACAGTGTAACTGGTTCTACAGCAGTTTTATTTGTGGAAGAACATGAACAGTGGCATGGTATTCTATATGAACTTTTGTTGTTAAGTCTTTTGTGTGTCCCTGTGGAGTTATGGAAATTGACTTAGCTTAATTTGGATTAAAAAAGTGTATGGATAAGTAGGGAAGAGAGAAGTTACTTGTCAAGGTAAGGGGGCTATGAAGAATCAAAGGATGGTGCTGATGGTGGAACACAGAGAGTTCCATGGTGTTGGATTGTTGGTTGATACTTGACAGTGAGATCAGAATTTTGTTTGGTTAGCTTATTTTTTTTCTTTCTTTTTTGGTTTGGTTAGAGAGGGAAGAGAGAGAGAAATATAGAGAGGATAACGTGGTTGATTTCATCCACAATTTTGAAGCATTTAGAAATCACAGGTTTTGACTCGCTTTACAACATAGAATATTGGACTGTTGATATAATTATGTCCCCAACAAACCATTCTGGGGCAGAATTTGAGTTCCAATATGCTTAAAATCTTAATGGAATCCGTACTTCATATAGTGGGAGATTTCTAATATGCTTTACTCTATTATCCAGTAATGCGAGATACATAATCAAAACATAAAGGGAATACCAATTAATTGCTAATACGAGATTTCTTATTTCAGAAACACATTTGTTTGAAAGAAAATTTTATAAATATAAGATCTCCGGTAACAAAGCCAAAAAGCCAAACATGAAAAATAGAAAATAAATTTACTATATGTGCAGTAATCATTTCATTAATTCCTTTTTTTCTTATGTATATGAACGGAATTAATTCATCTTTGTTTTCTTAATCAAGAAATATGGGAAGAAAAAAAAATGATGCATATATGTTAATTCTTTTTTTAATATTTAACTAGATGTTTAGGATTTAGGGTTCTGAGATTAACCCCCAAATCGAGAGTAGTGATTAGGGTAATTTTTTCTTCAAAAGGGAGAGTCCAAGAATATTTGATTTACAAATAATAACACTTCAAAAAAAAAAAAAAGTGTTCAAATGTGCATGATCATTTTTTTAACCCATTAAGAAAAATATTCTAGGGTCTTTAATTTGATACTGATGACTTTTACTGTATAGTCTTTATCTATGATTTATATTTTTTTATTAAATACGATATTAAGAAGGTTTATAACACTTACGTAAATGTTCCACTAACTGAGTTAAATACATTTGATAGTGTATTTGCACTTTAATACTCTAGTATAGAGGGTTTTAGTTTAACTTATTTTAAAGAAATCATCATTTTTTTTTTCATAAATCTTTTGGAAAGCTTAAAAAAAAGGCAATTATTTTCTAAAATCTAGTCATTCCCAAAACGTGCACTCAAGTTTCAAACCATATCACATAAGTAGTTGGCATAAGAAAATACTAATGACCTTATAATTAAGATTATTTATTCTTTCAATTAAACCGGCTCTAAATGTAATAATCCTTCAAATTCAAACATGTCATATTTAGCAAGAAATTGGACAAGCTTGTGCATACTTGGCCTTTTTGCAGAGTTTCACGTCTCAATAAATGCGTATTCTTATTGCGTGTTTAGATTTGCGTTTGAAGAATTGATTTACCAAAATCAATTTCCTGGACGTAGAAGCTATCTTTTTCGGCTTCAGCCAAAATTAATTTTCACCCTTAAAATCATGTGATGAAAAAAAATCCAAACATCCATTCAGTAGGAGGAATCGCATTTTTGCACGAAAAAATACGCGCGTTAACTTGATTCAACGCTTATTCAAACACGCACGTAATTTCTGCTTTAGAATTGATTCTAGACTTCCATTCATTCATTCTGATGTTTTGAAAAGAATGATACATAATTAAAGAAAACGACTCATTATTTAATAAAGTCTCCATGCCTTGCAGAATTGTACAAATTATTTTGAAATAATGGCATCACCATTTATTTTTCAGCAACTGCAGTGTCACTGCTTCTATACCAACATCCAAGTTTCTTTATTGCCTAGTATCATTAGCTATAAAAAAACTTGGATACAGTTCTTTTAGTATTTTTTAGGTTATTTTTCAATCTTAGAATTTTGATTGAAAAACAACTTAAAAAATACTTGAGACTGCATCCATGTTTTGTTTTATTATCATTTATCAGCATGGTCTAATATTGACATTTTGCTGGCGACGATTTGGTGTGGCATTTTGATTCAAGCACTAGAGCAGAACCTTGAATTTGCAAGAACTACATGTTTGTTTGATCCATCGGAAACAGGATGCCCTTCATCAATGCCCTTAATTTCAGGCTTCACTCTTACCTTTTCACCTCCTTCAACCCACCTCTTTAGCCTCTTGAGCAACTTTCTCCTTTTGGAATCACCATGAGCTGAACCAGTGTGATGCTCCAAAAGGGAATGATGCAATTCATGCTCTGACTCACTCTGCACAACTCCTAAGCTTCCTTCAAATTCCACCTCAACATGCTCTTGATGTTCCTCATAGTACCTCACTAACTCCTCCCTTAAGCAAGCATTGATACTCCTCAAATGAACCAACTCTTCAACTTCATTTGCACGTTCCTTCTTGACCTCTTCCAATTCATTGAGAACCTTGTTGTAATCCTCCTTACTCACACCACCTGATTCAACCTCCAAGTAATATTTCAAAGGCTTTCTATGAATTTTTTCCTTGTGTAACGGAGATGCATATTCTTCTGCTGTTTCAAGCTTCTTCAAAACCTCATTCTTCTCATCCTCTAATTGATCCAAAACCCTTTGTAGCTCTTTCACTTCATCCTCTAACTTGTTGATCACACTGACCCTTGTTTGCAACTCATCATTGTTTCTCAATATTTCTTCTTCTTTCTCTTTGATCTTCAAAGCCTGACCCTTTATCAACCTTGATTTGGCCTTCACTTCCCTAACCAGCTTCTGCACCCTCCTTTGTAGCACCCTATTCTGCGATTTCCAATACTCAAGTTGCTCAACAACCATCGTGTATTGCACCACAAAACTCTCCAACCTCATGGTCTCGGTCTCTATGGACGAAATCTCTTTACTCAAGATCTCAACACGATCATTCTCCAAAGACAACTTGTTCTTCACTTCAGCAAGAAGAGACTCTTGCTCCTTCATTTCACAGTACAACTCAAATTGCAAACGCAAGGCCAATTCCCTCATTTGAAGACCCTCAACTTGTGTTCTGAGGCAAGTGATGATCTCTTTCTCCAAACAAGGGTTGTTGTTGTTTTCATGGATCACCAAGCTCCCAGAAAGAACACTGCTAGATGAATCTTCATCTTCCACAAAAGAAAGGTTGTTAAAACTTTCTTCATGTTTGGTTTTTGGAGAATCATCACACTCGTTTTGTGGTAAAGAGGAAACTTTGGTAGACCAGGTTTTCTTTGCAATGATCCATGCATAGATCAAACCAGCCAAAGATGCAGCCAAGGGAACACCACCTTTGAGGATAAGTGGTTTGAGCGGTGTGAGTCCCATAGAAAAAAGTTTCAGTTGTTTGGTCACAATTGAAAACTATGCTAACAAGATCAGAATTTTGATCCTTCTTATGGCACCAATAGCAGTGGTTTGAAGAAAGTTGCATAACTTTGTTTAGAGGAACAGTGATATGTAACTTTTTGACCACTCCAAGAGACCTTGTACGGCACCAACAACCCCTACTCGTGCTCTAAGGAATCTGATTCCTTTCCGTGTCAATCAATTGCACTCAGAAATTGATATTTGCCATGTTGGGCTTCTTTTCTTCCATCAGCTACGTCTAATGTTAAATTATTACTCCTATATATTCTCCATATTTTAAACACATTACGGTCGTGCAGTTTTTTAAATGTATGGTTGATGTTGTTTGTTAAGGTTATTGAGTTTAGTTTGTTTTGAGTTTTTCTTTTATGTGTGGTTCGTGTTGTTTGTTAAGGTTATTGGATTTAATTTGTTTTTGAACTTGTTTGAGGGAGGTTGTAGTTAACAAAAGGAGAATGATTTTTTTTTTATTCTGGATATTTATTTATATATATA